GTCCCGCGTCTTTCCCTCTGCGTCCCCTGCGTCGTCCCCTGAGTCGTCCCCTGCGTTGTCCCTTGTTGCGCCTTGTCCCCTGCGTTGCCCCCTGCGTTGTCATCTGTAGTGTCCCCTGTCTTGTCCCCTGCGGTTCTTCCTGTGTAGTCCCCTGCGTCATCCCCAGTGTTGAACTCAGTGTTGTCCCCCTGTGTTGTCCCCAGCGTCGTCTGCTGCGTCGTCCCTGATTTGCTTGTCCCCGTTTTGTCCTGCGTTGTGTCATGTGTCGGCCACTGCGTCGTCCCCTATGTCGGTCGTCCCCTGCGCTGTCCCCTGCGTCGTGCCCTGCGTTGTCCCCGAGTTGTCCCCTGTGTTGTCCCCGCGTTGTCCCCTGCGTTGTCCCTCGTGCTGTCCCCGTGCGTTGTCCCCTGCGTTGTTTCCCGTGTTCTCCTCTGCATCCTCCCTTTTGTGTCCCCTGTCTTGTCCCCTGCGTTGTCCCCGCGGTGTCCCCTGCGTTCTCCGCTTTCCTGTGTTGTCCCCTGCGTTGTCCCCGTGGCGCTGTCCCTGCGTTGTCCCCTGTCTTGTCCCCTGTCCTGTTGCCTGCGCTGTGTTGTCTCCTGTGTTGTCCCGTGTTGTCCCTTGTGTTGTCCCTCGCCTTGTCCCCCTGCGTTCTCCCCTGCGTTGCTTCCTGCGTTGTCCGTTGTCCCCGAGTTGTCCCCTGCGTTGTCCCCGCGTTGTCCCCTGTGTTGTCCCTCGCGCTGTCCCCGTGCGTTGTCCCCTGCGTTGTTTCCCGTGTTCTCCTCTGCATCCTCCCTTTTGTGTCCCCTGTCTTGTCCCCTGCGTTGTCCCCGCGGTGTCCCCTGCGTTCTCCGCTTTCCTGTGTTGTCCCCTGCGTTGTCCCCGTGGTGCTGTCCCTGCGTTGTCCCCTGTCTTGTCCCCTGTCCTGTTGCCTGCGCTGTGTTGTCTCCTGTGTTGTCCCGTGTTGTCCCTTGTGTTGTCCCTCGGCCTTGTCCCCCTGCGTTCTCCCCTTCGTTGCTTCCTGCGTTGTCCCCCGAGTTGTCCCCTGTGTTGTCCCCGCGTTGTCCCCTGTGTTGTCCCTCGCGTTGTCCCCCTGCGTCATCCCCAGTGTTGAACTCAGTGTTGTCCCCCTGTGTTGTCCCCAGCGTCGTCTCCTGCGTCGTCCCTGATTCGCTTGTCCCCGTTCTGTCCTGCGTTGTGTCATGTGTCGTCCGCTGTGTCGTCCCCTATGTCGTCCCCTGCGCTGTCCCCTGTGTCGTGCCCTGCGTTGTCCCCCGAGTTGTCCCCTCTGTGTTGTCCCCGTGTTGTCCCCTGTGTTGTCCCTCGCGCTGTCCCCGGTGCGTTGTCCCCTGCGTTCTTTCCCGTGTTCTCCTCTGCGTCCTCCCTTGTGTCCCCTGTGTTGTCCCCTGCGTTGTCCCCTGTGTTGTCCCCTGCGTTGTCCCCTGTGGTGTCCCCTGTCTTGTTGCCTGTGCTGTGTTGTCCCCTGTGTTGTCCCCGTGTTGTCCCTTGTGTTGTCCCTCGCTTTGTCCCCATGCGTTGTCCCCTGCGTCGCTTCCTGCGTCGTCCCCCTCCCTGGTCTTGTCCCCCTGTGTTGTCCCCAGCGTTGTCCCCCGCGTCGTCCCCGTGTTGTTTTGTCCTGCGTTGTGTCCTGTGTCGTCCACTGTCTCGTCCCATACGTCGTCCCCTGTCCTGTCCCCTGTGTGGTGCCCGGCGTTGTTCGGTGTTGTCCCCTGCGTTGACCCCGTTGTTTCCTGCGTCCTCCCTTGTGTCCCCTGTGTTGTCCCCTGTGTTGTCCCCTGTGTTGTCCCCTGTCTTGTCCCCTGTGTTGTCCGCTGCGCTGTCCCTTGTGTTGTCCCCTACCTGTTTGTCCCTTGTGTTGTCCCCCGTGTTGTCCGCGCGCGTTGTCCCCTGCGTTGTTTCCTGTGTTATCCTCTGCGTTGTTCCCTGTATCGTCCATCCCCTCTCTGCTGCCCCCTGTGTTGTCCCCCACGTCGTCCCAAGCGTCGTGCCACCCCTGCGTCGTCCCCCCGCTGCATCGTCCCCTGCGTCCCCTGCGCCGTCCATCCCCTGCGTCGTCCCTGTGTCGCCTGTCGCCCTGTCCCCCGTCCACTGTCCCCCCTCCTTCTCCCTTGTTCGCTTTATCCCCGTTTTTTGTGTCCCACCTTTCCTCCCTTCAGCTGTGCCCCTGTCCCGTCCCTCCAGCGCACCTCCATCCCCATGTGCAGCGACAGCCTAGACCCTGAACCGTAATCCTAAACCCTCAAACCTAAACGCGAAGCCCTAAAGCATAGACGTTAAACTCTCTCACCAGTGCCTCCCTCTGCAACCCTACACCCTTGTGCAGCAGCCTTCTGAGGGCTTCGGCTAACAGCGACTAAGCACACCCTTGTGCAGCAGCCTTCTGAGGGCTTCGGCTAACAGCGACTAAGCCCTAAACCTAAGCCCTAAACCCTAAACCCTAAACCCTAAACCCTAAACCCTAAACTTAAACCCTAAACCCTCAAACCTAAGAGCGCAACCCTAAACCATAAACCTTAAACTCTGTCAATGGCGCCCTTGGCTCACACTTGCTGTACAAAGAGGGGAAACACTACTACTAGTTTAAGCCGTCATTTCTCATCGAGTGCCAGTACTCTGTGCCGCGGCGCGGGCCGTGCCAGTTGCGCCACCAGTTCTGCTGCGAGGAGCTCTTTTGATGCCACGACCGCCGGCCTGACTCCTGCTCACGAAGAGGAGGCTGTGGCGCAAGCACGGCCTGTTCCTGCTCGGCCTTCCTTTTCTTGAGTTCCTGCAGACTCTTCTCCGCCTCGACGCGCGCCAGCTTTGTTTCTTCCAGTTTCACTCTAAGGCGAAGGGTCTCAGCTTCGCTGTGCTTGCCTGGCGTCGCCGTGGAGGACTGCAAGGTCGATGCCACTACTTTCACGGCCGGAATGCCGCGGCCAGCACTTGGCGCTGCCGGGGGTGCAGGTGCAGCCTTGCGAGGCTTGCCCGGCTGCGCGAGAGGCTGCAGTGACGATCTCCCAGCTTGTTGCGGTTTGCCGAACTGCGCGGTTGCCTTCGTAGCCTTCTTCGGCTTCACTGCACCAGACTTGGGACACTCGCTCTGTGCAAAATCTACTAGTGGTGTGCGGTTGCAGGTGCATCGATCTTTCCCCCATTTACCGCACCACGCGCATTTACTACGCGTCATCTTTTATGCGTGAGCCGAAACTTCCGGCCGCTTTCGTGCATCTACGCTGCGATTTCCCAAATTTCTTTCGAGTGCTATCGTGCTGAGTTTATATACCTCTTCGTTTCTGTTGCTTAGACTTTCATGTAACCTTGACAGAAACCACAATTTCTATTCATCTCTCAACCTACTTTACCCTGGCCCCTAACCCTGAACCCTCTAACGACATCACCACAGAGCACTGGCCCGCTGACCTGATGGGATCAAGTTTATGAGTTCAGGGTTCAGCTCGAAAGTTGAAAGCTTTATCAAGTTTGCAGATTCGGGTTGCTTGCGCTTTGACGATGCCGTCGCCTAACATAACTGTGTAACTGTATAAAGCTCGGAGGGGGCAGGGATGCCTCGATGGGAAGCGGTTGTAAACGTGGAGGGGGTGGGGAGGGATGGGGGGGGTTGGGGGGGGGAAGGGGAGGGGGGGGGACTTTGGGTTGAGGGGGGGATTGGGGGGGGGGGGGGGGGGTGGACGGATCAGCACAAAAAAAATAGGTCCTGCGAGGGATGGGGGGGGCGGGGGGGGGCGGGGGGGTGGACTGGGGGGGGGCGGGGGGGGGGGGGGGGGGGACTGCAGGAGGGGGGACGGGGGGGGGGGGGATGGGTGGGCACAACAGGAGGACGGATCAGCATAAAAAAAGGACAGGTCAGCATAAAGAAAAAACCGGTGAGGATAACAAGAGAAGTGGTAGCATAACCAAGGGACTCCGGAGCATAAAAAAGGAAACGGTGCAGCATAAGGGATCGGGACGGCTTCCGGGACACACAGAGAATAAGAAAAAAAACGCATAGCATAAGAAAAAAAACCCAGCCCTAATAATTTACTTATGTAATGATGCAATCATGCAGTGATGATATTATGTAATAGTGGAATGTAATCATGCAAGAATGTTAAGAATGAACTAGTGCAAAAAAGCAATCACAAAATGCCATACGAGCATAACCCTATGCTTTAATGTTATAAGAGCACAATCAAACAACAAGATTGTAAACAAAAAATCATAGTACGAAAATCTAACAGTATAATAATTGTATACTAACACGACAATCTGCTGCCTTCTGGCCTGCCTTCCTTCTTGCTTCCTCCTTCCTTCCTTCTTCCTTCCTTCCGCTGCCACTTTTCCATGGTCGCTCGCCTAAAGATTCGATAGAGGCTTGCCAAATAAAAATATGACGACAATGGAGGTTTCCTACTGAAATGTGGACCAAAAGAACCCGATTAAAATGTAAAGAAGATGCAGTTAGAATCCAAATATGGAGAACACACAGTTTTTCGATCAACAAGGAGAATAGCTTACGGGATAAGAGCCACACAAGAAAAGATGCTAACAAGAATTAACACCAAAAAATGCCTCCCCACTGGAATCTGAGCAGTGCATGGGATCGGCAGCTTGGAAGGCGCAGGCGAGAGTGCGATTTGGCGCCTGCCGCGAAGCAAAAACTACGCCATGCTATTTGCGACGATTCGTCGGACACCGTCCGGCGTTTCATGGGCAAAGGAGCACACGGTTTGTAAGCGAGAGCGTCACGGGCACGCAGAAACACGGAGAAGGTTTGGGTTTAGGACTTGGAACCCACACCCCTCCACCAGAAAACCCGCGAGGGTGATCAATTTTAAGGTCTTCAGTTGTGCATGTGGCCAGGAGCATTAGATGACCAGGCTCTGCATGCTGGAATCACTCGTATTAAATCTCGTAACTGTTTCGCGCGTACTGCTACATCTACACATACAATGAAAGCACTAATATTTAATAGTATTTGTGCTCCCGTGCAGCCTAGGCGCACGTCGGACAACCTGTGCTCTTCCAAACCTTGAACAGATACATTGCGAATTGCTAGACCCCTCAGCCTGCGACAAGCTCCTGGCTACAAGTTTCCTTGGGATCGCACGTTGTAGAATCGACTGGGCATCCATGATCTCCACCTCTTCGGACTGCTCATGCGAATCGATGCACCAGCACACAAGCCGGCCTCACCCACAGTGGAGGCACTTACCTGGGGCAGGGCGCCGGCATCTCGAAGTAAATCTGTTGTATCAGGGAAGTAGCCTGCCTTCTCCATGCCCTTGTCTTCGTCATCCCATTGAACAAGGACCTCCTCCTGCACACCGCCGGACAAATAGGACAATCATTGCCCACAAAGCTGCGGCGCCAAAGAGTGTCAAGCTGTCCTTTGAAACTTCCAGCACTTGTCCATACGACCTGCACTTCACCGCCGTGCTGGTCTCTAAGCATGATGAGCATGCTGTTGTGGTGGACGTCCTTGTCATCTACTCAATCTTCTGAGAAAGAATTCAGCAGCTTGTGAGTGGATGAGTGGATCCACATTCCAGAAATTCTCAGCCATTTTCAAGGGCCATTTTCCGAAAAGTACTGGCAGTAGCAATAGCACTAGCAGCTATTGCGACTATTCCAACTATGACGACAATTGCTACTATTGCTACTCATGCTACTATTACTACTGCTACCTACTATTTCGACTTTTTCTATTATTACTACTATTGCGTTTTATTGCTACTACTACTACTACTACTACTACTACTACTACTACTACTACTACTACTACTACTACTACTACTACTACTACTACTACTACTACTACTACTACTACTACTACTACTACTACTGCTACTGCTACTGCTATTTCTACTTACTAGTACTACTATTGCTACTATTGCTACTATTACTACTATTACTACTATTACTACTATTACTACTATTACTACTATTACTACTATTACTACTATTACTACTTTTACTACTATTACTACTATTACTACTATTACTACTATTACTACTATTACTATTGTTACTACTATTGCTACTATTACTATTATTACTACTATTACTAGTATTACTACTATTACTACTATTACTACTATTACTACTATTACTACTATTACTACTATTACGACTATTACTACTATTTCTACTATTACTACTATTACTACGATTACTACGATTACTACGATTACTACGATTACTACGATTACTACGATTACGATTACTACGATTACTACTACTACTACTACTACTACTACTACTACTACTACTACTACTACTACTACTACTACTACTACTACTACTACTACTACTACTACTAACACTACTAGCTACTACTACCTACTACTACCTACTACTATATACTCTAATATACTACTATACTATTTACTATATTTACTACCTATTATACTATTACCTAAATCGACCAAATTCCGCCCCCCCCACAGATTACTACCCGGAACTATTTAATTACTATTACACTTTAATACTATTACTTACTTTACTACTATTACTACTATGACTCCGATTACTACTATTCATACTATTGACTACTATGACTACTATTAATATATACACTATTTACTTACGATTACACATATTACTACTATTAATCCGATGACTACGATGATACTATTACTACTTACATACTACTATGACTACTATTACTACTATTACTACTATTACTTTTTTTTTTGTTGGTTTGTTTTTTTTAACCTTTTTATTACTACTATAAATTATTTACGACTTATAATTTCTGTTACTACTATAATACTATTACTACTATTACTACTATAATTACTACTCATAAAAGAATATACTACTAATATACTTACTACTATACTCTACTACTACTGCTACTACTACTACTGCTACTGCTACTACTACTACTACTACTACTACTACTACTACTACTACTACTACTACTACTACTACTACTACTACTACTTCTGCTACTACTACTACTACTACTACTGCGATTACTACGATTACTACGATTACTACGATTACTACGATTACTACGATTACTACGATTACTACGATTACTACGATTACTACGATTACGATTACTACGATTACTACTACTACTACTACTACTATTATTACTATTACTACTATTACTACTACTACTACTATTTACTACTATTACTACTATTACTACTATTACTACTATTACTACTACTACTACTATTACTACTATTACTACTATTACTACTATTACTACTATTACTACTATTACTACTATTACTACTATTACTACTATTACTACTATTACTACGATTACTACGATTACTACGATTACTACTATTACTACTATTACTACTATGACTACTACTAGTACTACTAGTACTACTATTACTACTATTACTACGTTTACTACCATTACTACCATTACTACTATTATCACTATTGCTACTATTGCTACTATTCATATTACTATTACCATTACCATTACCATTACCATTACTACTACTACTACTACTACTACTACTACTACCACCACTACTACTACTACTGCTACTACGACTACGACTACGACTACGACTATGACTACGACTACGACTACGACTACGACTACGACTACGACTACGACTACGACTACGACTACGACGACTACTACTACTACTACTACTACTACTACTACTACTACTACTACTACTACTACTACTACTACTACTACTACTACTACTACTACTACTACTAGGTGTCGGTACCATTCGCGGCGGTGTCATTTTCTTCGATTCCCAGCGCTAAAACCTAGGTTTCGCGCACATTCCAGGCTCCAGTGCCCCTTTGTCTTTTCTTCTTTCTACATGTACCTGCACCGTACGCCTTGCCAGTTTGGGTTTGGGCTGTTAAACTGAAACATCGGTATTTACGACACTTCGTGGCTTTTTTTGCAGAGCATCCATGTCCGCACGATGATAACGTCCGTGTTAGCAGCGCATCCATGTTGACACGATGATAACTGGTAACGTCCGTGTTACCAGAGCATCCATGTCCGCACGATGATAACGTCCGTGTTACCAGAGCATCCATGTCCGCGCGATGATAACGTTTGTGTGACCACTAGTGTAGAAAAGTGCGTTTCCGATATGCTTTTTTTGGGTCAGGTCAGCGTGCGAGGAAAGCAAGCGAGCCCATCTTCGAAAATGCACTTTTTTCATGTGGAACAGCGCGTTTCCTGTCCTCGAAAACACACTTTGTTAGTGTAGAAAAGTGCGTTTCCGATATGCTCTTTTTGGTCAGGTCAGCATGCGAGGAAAGCAAGCGATCCCATCTTCGAAAATGCACTTTTTTCATGTGGAAAAGCGCGTTTCCGGCATGATGTTAAAGTTTGTGTGTGTGTGGCTGGCGCACTCGAACGTGTCACACTTTTTCATGGGGGGGTGGGGGGGGGGGGGGGGGGGGGTTTGGGGGGCCGGTGCCATGTTGTTGTAGTAGAGTAGTAGTCGTCGTAGTAGTAGTAGTACGCGCTGGTTACGTACGCGACGGTGTGGTGCTTGCGCAGGATTGGCAGGAAATGCATGCGTTTTACAGTGTTTTCAGCTGATGGCAGGTGATTGGCAGGGTTTGTCTTATCTTGGTTTTTTTTGACATGGAAGACACTGAGCGGACTTGAGTGCTGGGCTCAAGCGGACATGGATGCTCTGGTAACGCGGACGTTATCATCGTGCGGACATAAATGCTCCGGTAACAGGGACGTTATCGTCGTGCGGACATGGATGCTCTGGCCATTCGCAAGCCATGAAGCCACGAAGTGTCGCAAATACCGATGTTTTTGCATGGAGGTTATCATCGTAAGGACATGGATGCTCTGGCCAGCAGAAAAGTGCGTTTTCGAGGACACGTTCGAGTGCTTCAGCCACACACAAACTTTAACATCATGCCGGAAACGCACTTTTCCACATGAAAAAAAATGCATTTTCGAAGATGGGCGCTCGCTTGCTTTCCTCGCATGCTGGAGGCTGCGGGATCAGGCAGGTTCGGGTTTGCTGAGTTTAGGGGGTCTAGGGGCCCAGTAAATAAAGTGGAAATTCTTGTGCTTGAGCTGGAATTCGATGGGCAAGGGCGCGATCACGTTGAACTCTTCCCTTTTTTTGTGTAGAAAAGCGCGTTTCCGATATGTCTTTTTGGTCAGGTCAGCGAGGAAAGCAAGCAAGTCCATCCCCGACCCAGTCTTTCCACTCACACACAATGGTGGAGAGAAAGGTTCGGGGGGGGGTGGGGAGGTGGGGGGGGGGGGGGGAAATGGGAGTGGGTGGGGGTGGGGGTGGGGGGGGTGGGGGGGGGGGGGGGGGGGGGGGGGGGGGGGGGGGGGGGGTGGTGGGGTGGGGGGGGGTGGGCGGGGGGGGGTGGTCTGGATCAAATAAACAGGCGGCGGTACTACTACAACTACACTACAACTACACTACACTACAACACAACTACAACTACAAACTACAACCTACACCTACAACTACAACTACAACTACTCCTACTAGTACTACTACTACTACTACTACTACTACTACTACTACTACTACTACTACTACTACTACTACTACTACTACTACTACTACTACTACTACTACTACTACTACTACTACTACTACTACTAGTAGGCTAGCGCGCCCCAGGGCGCCTGGTCGGTTTGCTGCGGCTGAACCGCCGGACATTGGTGTTTTGCGTCATTTCCAGTAGAGGCCGAAAAATCAACTAAACAAAAAAACTACTCGCGGGCACGGACAATGAAGGTTTCAGTGTTTGGAAGCGATGTGCTGCTGTACCTAAAGGCTAAACCGTCCCTAAACCTTAAACCCTAAACCCTAAGTCCTAAACCCTAAACCCTAAACCCTAAAGCCTAAACCCTAAACCCTAAAGCCTAAACCCTAAACCCTAAACCTTAAACCCTGAATTCTAAACCCTAAACCCTAAATCCTAAACCCTAAACCCTAAACCCTAGACCCTAAAGCCTAAGCCCTAAACCCTAAACCCTAAAGCCTAAACCCGAAACCTTAAACCCTGAATCCTAAACCCTAAATCCTAAACCCTAAACCCTAAACCCTAAACCTTAAACCCCACCCTGAAGTCTAAAGGTGTGTGTCGGCAGCATTTCTTGAACTGCCAGGCGTTCCCCTGCTGCACGGCTTTCGAAAGAGAAACATTCACTGCTGCAGTGCTTGAAGCACAGCTTGCAAAAGGGGGTTCGAAAAGCTTGCACGTGAGCCGCAAGAGTCTGCGTCTGACTCACGAAACGTACAGGTTTACGAAACTTCGAGAATAAGTAGAATAAGTGAG